GTGCATGCTGCTTTATACACTTCATTTAGATAGTTGTGTATGTTCCTTGTACAAGTTGGACAAAACGCACTCTGCCTAAACCATGTTCAATATACCGTAGGAGTTAAACATGGTCTTTTTGTAGAAAACACTGATTATAGATGTGATTTTGACTATTCTTATACATAATTTCTGGTTGTATTAGTTTAATAAGTTTTTTGGACTTTCAATGATGTTGAAGACGAAAGAAAATAAAAGATTGTTCTCTTTAACAAATTAAGCTTTTAGAAGATGGTCACACAACAAAATTTGTTACCGAAGCAGGCCGAGATCCGGAGTTCAAGTCTCACTACCACCCTTAAGTTAAATAGATTTCATGCATTTGACACATGAAAACAAAAATCTGGACCACATGCGAAAGGTGTATTAAAGTCATACATGAGTAAATAAAAGTGTGCTCTCTCTAATAGTGAAAGCTTTCAATGAGGTGGTCATCTAATTGAATAACTGAGTTTTTGAAAACTTATCATACTTATCCTTTGATATCGACACGGCTGTTTGCTAGACTTTAACTTCAGATAATGTCTCAGAGTCTCAGACGTTATCTCTGGCCCTTTTTTCCAAGGATCCACCTGACAGGCTTCCGTCTAAATTTCAAAAGGCTTTTACAGTTGCTTCAATCAAGTCAAGCTACGGTGTAACTAGCAAGAACTTGTGAATATAATGCAATGGAATAGATGCAGGACATTCTCTAGCAAGAACTTGTGAACATAATGCATTGGAATAGATGCAGGACAAAGAGAATTAATTTTACGGCACGGAGCTGTAAATAAGCTGGTTTCCAGAATTCCAGTTCACAATCTCGTAGCGTGTCCACCAGTTCTGAGGTCCAGATCCCAAGAAGATTGTTGTCAACCTCTTGATCAAGTCAAAAACAGTTTAGATAAATAATGTAGCACACAGGCTTGAATTATTGTGACTAGGTAACAAATCTAACACCACAAGTCAAATAACTGAAACCAACTAGAATCAAAAGGAACTTACGACAGCTGAGAAAGAAACAGAAAGAGAACCAATAAGTATGCAGAAAGCTGCACCATACTTGCTGTCTACAAAAGTGGCCATCAAAAACCATGAGAGAGCTCCAAAAAGTCCTGATAGTACCAAATATGACCTTCTCCGGTATCCAAACAGTGGGAAGGAATCACTATAAAAGCAAAACCAATGTCATGAAAAATTAATTACTAGAAATAATTAGTTAGATGAATAAGGATGAAATGCGAACTGAATCTAACCTAATGAATCCATATAACGGCTTGGCAAGCAATGGCAATGATGAGAAACCAGATATCACAGCTGTCTAGTTAGCCACGAATAATGTGTCAGTCATTGTACTCAAATCCAAAGAAGAAGTGCCACTGAAAGAAAATAAATTTGACACCGTGTCAAACAGTTTCCATTTTAAAATGCTCTTTATCAACTGAAGTCAGAAATGCTGAGGCAAAGATTGGTAAATTGGAAATATCACACTCAAAATCTTTACAGAAAACGATGAATCAATTTCTGAAAATGATATGTCTAGTTTCATGGTTTCAGGCCGTAGATGAGGATGAATAAATGCCCACAGGTTGATTCATACTGTCCAATCAACTCTATTTACTGATATGAGAAAAAGTAGATAAGAAAATGTTGAATGACCATAAGTATAGTATACCATTGGTAAAAGCACCTCATACACATAACACTTCTAAAGAAGGAGAGGATAGCGTGGAGATTTTCATTTAAATAAACTTGTAGTTCAAGCAACTGACTCTTAATGTATCTTTAGATTCAGAATCCATGTAAATGTTAAGGACAATATAATTAGTTTTCCAACTCAAATGAGCACTTTCGGATAAAATACAACCTTGTGGAAGTTCAACCACCAATGTAAAGAAGTGTTCGCCGAGAAGATGGCATACCTCTGCAGGGTCTAGGTGTAGGTCATCTTTCAAATAATAGCTAACAGCAAGATCTGAAAGGCCTAAGACACCTTGAACAAAATATACCATAGCAACTGCAATGTTATCGGGGGTTAGTTCCACCCCGAAGAATCTGGCTGAGCTAATAGAACTTTTTTCCTTGTGAGAGCCAGTTTTATCAGATGAACTAGAATCTTCGATGCTAGTGGTTGTCAGGAGATCACCATTTCCTGCAGATTGATCAGATAGGGAAATGTCATAAATAATTGAACCTATGTCAACTTCTGTGAACATGAATGACCCCTTATCCACTTTCATGCCAATATACTGATATGTGTGCATCCTAGTGGAAAATTCCTGTCATAGGAATGTGGTATAGCCAATATCAAGAAACTTTTAACCAGAATGTCTAGGTTAGGCAAGGAAAAATCTGCTAAAATTACACTGAAAACCACACATATCACTTGAATATTCTAAATCCTTCTTTTAAATGTCTTACTTATTAATTAAGTTGGTGATGAATTCTTAACAGATTCAATCAATCAACTAAGCCTTAATCCGAACTAGTTGTGATCCTCTACATCCATTTCCCCTTCAACTATGAGCACTATAAAAGAGTTATGATTGCTCTTCGACATATCACTCAACACCTTTAAGGCAGAGCTTTCCCTGCTTTGTAAATATTCTCACGTGTCTCCTTAGTTTGACATGTTTAAAGCACCATAGAGAATCTTCTAGAGGTTCTTGTACATGCGAGGGACTTGATTCTATATTGCATCCACGACATGCTGTGCAGACAATTCAATTTGAAGTAATAGTTTGTTCCGTTTACTAATATATTACAAGCACAAAAATGGTACGCGGACAGCTCAAATTGAAGTAATAATATGTTCCAAACTACTTGAGATGCAGTAAATGCTTAGCATTTTCGGCATCTGAAAATTGCTGTGATTGGTTTTCCATCAATTCCTATAACATGAATAATTCATAAATCGTCTTGATTTGGTACCCGTATTTTAACAAACAGTTATCAAACTTGAAATCATAACAATGAACAGGCATCTACTTGAAAATTGGAATTTGTAACCGTAATACAATAACTTTACTTTTCTATTTCAGCATCTACCTACTGTAAGAATAACTTAGTAGAATTAACCACATATGCGGTAACTTACTATTGATAGAATCAAGCAACGGTTCGGCATCGTTGTCTTGTTGGACTGGGTTTTCCGGCACTGCAACGGTGACTGACATTTTGGTGTCAGGTAGAGATGACGATCGAATGCCGTTTCCAGCGAGGATTGCAGAGAGGAAGAAGAAGGCCAAAATTGTTGGTAAGATGGAGAATGCTAAACGTAGCCATTATAAAACTAATTTTTCCGTTCGTAGGTCGTATTTCCCTCTGGTTTATGGAATATTCAAATGACTGGTAATGTGAATGCAGCACAAGTTGACCTGACAGAAATTACAAAAATTGACTTAAATGTTTGGGGAAGATAATCACATGCCCTCATCAAAATCAGAATCAGTTAACATCATCATTTGGGAGTTTCTTCGGACATTCAAGAGTGTAGCTCCGTAATTTTTCCTTCTCCCTTCCTTCTTTCTTTGCCGCGTGTTTTTCACAGCCATCAAAGGGCGGAGCCACCTTTTGCTACCTTTCGTGGAAAATTATATTATTTATATATGATTAAAATAATTTTTTATGTATATATAATAAATGTCAAATTTGCTTCGATTATTTCGTGTGTCTATTTTTATTAGTTTTGAATTCCTTAATGAAAATTCTGACTCCGTCACTCAAGAACAAGGCAAGTGTTGCATCTTTGCTCTTTCACATTTATTATTCTTCAAAATTCCTCGTGCCATGGAAAACAGTACTCTCCATTTTCAATGGATTTTTTTGCTTCACGAACTTATTACATACCTAGCAAAAGTTGGTTATATATTCAAACAATAGGCACTCGCACGGAGCACGCATATCCTATATAGTAGAAATATAAATAGAAATGGATGGAGAAAATGGTCACGTGACTTGTTAACAGTGGAGAATTGATCTTGACAAGTAGTAAGCCATCAATTGGATTGTTAAAATATATTTTCTTTCTGATCAAAAAATAAAATTATATATATATTCATAATACATAAATATGTGTTTTTAATTTAGCTTCATCTGATATTTATGTCATTTAATTTTAGGTGTGCACAAGTAAATATTTAAACTTTGTATAAAATTAAACAGACACAATACGTCTATTTATACACACTCATAGTTGGAGACTTGGAGGTGCACACTCATAGTTGAAGGACACATATACAACTAAAACTGAAATCAAGTTAAATGATATATTTATGTGTTATGTCTTCTTCTTCTTTTTTAATTCACCATGTTAAATTAAGTTTTGGGCCTAACTCACACCCTAAAACTAGCTCAAAGGGAGGAGGATTGCCCAAGTCTTATAAGGAGTCCACCCATCTCATTAACCACCGATGTGAGACTTTTGTCATTCTTTAACACCCACGTCACGCCCAGTGCTTAGCATCTAGTGCGTGGGCAATTTTAATTTTGGGGGTCCCAACATTGGGTGAGACGGGCCCTGCTCTGATACCATGATAAATTTTGTATGTAAACAATTCTCAAACACCATTGTTAAATTCTGTATGTAAACAATTCTCAAACACCATTGTTAGCCATTTGAGAGAGCTAAGCAGTGAGAGAAAACTAAGATGTTTATTACTGAGAGAATGAATTATTAGACAAAATTACACACTACAAAGTATATATGCTTATACACAGCTGGTAACTAACTACACGTGTCTAACCGACTTTTAACAAACTTTATCAAAATTTCTAGCTAGGACAATGACCACTCTACCCCTCAATACCATGCTTCAAGTAATTCCCATTCATCAACATGTCTTGCGTGCCACCCAAATATTGAATAACAAAAGACCACCCAAAATTGACCCCTTCTCTCACACTTATCAATCATAAATTTCCCTCTTGCAAAGTCTCCTTCCCCAAATTTTGATATCTTTAATTTTTTTCTTACTAAGAAAATGGATGAAACAAGCAGCAAATCAGAAGGAAAAGAAATCGATGACGAATTCACTGAAATAACTCTGCGGCCAATTGAACTGTCAGATGTGGATGATTTCATGGAATGGGCAACAGATGAAAAAGTCAGCCAATTTTGCTCTTGGGATACTTACACTTCCAAAGACCAAGCTCTAGATTACATCAACAATAATGCAATTCTCCATCCATGGTTGCGAGTTATTTGCACTAAAAACAGAGCAATTGGGGCAATTTCTGTGACACCAAATTCTGGTTGTTTGGATAGTTGTAGAGCAGAGCTTGGTTATGTATTGGCTTACAAATATTGGGGTAAAGGGATTGTCACAAAGGCAGTGAAAATTGCTGTATCAAATATATTTGAAGAATGGCCAAATCTTGAGAGGGTTGAGGCTTTTGTGGATGTAGACAATAAAGGATCACAAAGGGTGTTGGAAAAAGCTGGATTCTTGAAAGAAGGTGTTCTAAGAAAGTTCAGGACAATAAAGGGCAGATCACCAGATATGGTCATATTTAGCTTTCTATCAACAGATGTTCTGTTTGAATGATTGTTACATGTTGTTTTAATTAGTATTGTATCTATAGTATTGTGTTATATTGTTTTAATTAGTATTGTATCAATGGTATTGTGTTATATTGTTATATTGTTATATTGTTTTTCCAATGTTTTTGTGTTTTAGATTTCCCTAATCATGTGTCAAAAAGCCCCTAAATAAATATTATGACGATCTTACCATTTTTACTTCTAAATAATAAAGATATGTAATAGATTGGCATGATAATTTAAATATGCAAAGTGACTTTTTGAAATAGGACAAATTTATGCATTTATTCAAACAATATGCGAGTGTACTTTGTCCTCATATAACATGGAGTATTTACCTTAACTTCATTCCCGGAGAACCCTTGAACTACTTCATTATATCAATAATAATAATTGTTCTTGAAGATTATAAATACATCAAGTAATAGCATATAAATAGAATAAATACTCAATAAAAATAGATTATATCTTAAAATAAAAATAAAAATAAGATAATCAAAATCCTTCTTAATTAATACAATTTTTATGAAGGTGTAAAAAAATACGGCACATCATTTGAGTTAGAGGAGTACTATCCATTTGAAGAGATTGATTAACCATATTGAGGTTCCTCGTAACCATTAACAAGCTCAATCCTCAAGAGTATCAATATGTTTGCAAATCCAATCATACCAATATTTGGATATTTAATAAATGTACTTCCTCTGTAAATTAATCATATTTCTATAAAATTGTGTCACCTTAATGCCTATAAATATTCAATTTAGCCAATTTTTTTGTTTCAGAGTGACCAATAAGATGCTTCTTTATTGAGGAATCTTATCCGTTTAAACATGCGTGTAGACAATAAAATTCGCGTTGAGAAAACAATAATCAAGAACGGAAAATTACGCAACAATCGTTTTATTATTTCAAAGTGCGAGTGTTACAATCTCTATGATTCCTCCGAATTCGCCTTTTCAAATATAATTCAAGGGCTCTTGAGCTTAATCTAGAACTTGAGATTTATCTTGATCTTAATCTTTATCTTGAACTTGAACTTGGACTTGATCTTGATCTTGAACTTGATCTTGACTTGAACTTTATCTTGATCTTGACTTTCTAATTGAATTCAAGGGCTTTGAGCTTGATCTTGAATCCCGTGGTCTTGATCTTGATCGTTCTTGAACTTGATCTTGACTTCTTCAAATCTTGAACTTGAACGCTTGAATTCTTCAATTCTTGAATCCTCGAATTCTTGAACTTGTAGAGAAATTGCGGCTTTTGATCCATGAGCTTTCTCTAGCTTCTTGTTCGAATTCTTGGTCTTCTATTATGAATTATGAGGACCCCTATTTATAGTTTTAAAATAGAGGAGTTGTGATTAAAAGAGGACTTTCTTCGGCCAATCAGATTTAAGTGACATGGCATATGGACTTTATGTAGCGGGCTTTAATTAAATTCATATTTATTGAATTTATATATTTAATTCAATTATATTAATCCATAATATTTATTTGGACTAATATATTTATGAATTTAATATAATCCGAATCATTTAATAAATTTATATTTAAATAAATTTTAAATGATTACAAATGCCCTTGCTTCAAGTCTTGTCGAGATATTTTATCTTTCAAAACTAGGCTTGAAGTATTAATTACATGACAATTATATACCATATATTTGAAATGCCATAAATTAATATACCACTTTAATATAATTGGACAAGAATAATTGAAGTGGATACATGAGCTCACGTGGCCACTTGGCTATATATATATTTTTTATTTTTATTTTACTTTCCTCATCCAATTGGAATTAGGAGGTAATCTGTATATGATGGTTTCCCACTTTAAAATTGATCTATTTGTGGCAAGGCCACAAATAAACAACCGCCTAGGATAGGAATCATGAATGTTGACGTGGCATGTGAAGAAACTAAATATGCATCTTATATTATGATGCAAATTTTAACCCAAAATGTAGTTGTAGTAGGATAAAACCGAACTAGGAATTGTAGTCTACTCAATTTCAAATTCATATATCTTTTCTATTGTCCTAGCCAAAAAGAATTTGTAATTGGATTAGGAGAAGAATTTTCTTCTCACCACATGACATCTATAAATAGACACACTGTATCCACAATTTTTCTTCAATTACGGATTGTGAGCTACAAGCCTACGACGAAAGGGACATTATTCAAGGTAATTTTCCTCCCTTTTTCTGATTTTCGTCACTTTTTTACAGCTTGACACGTCTGTCGTAGAAAATTCATATCTCATTGTAGAAAAATTGAAATCATGAACGGTTTGATTTTCCAGAAACTAGACTTCTCGATCTCTAGCATATCCAAAATTCAGAATTTAATACATTTCAAATATTTTTAGATGATTTTTTGAAGTTAGCTCTAGATTCTGCCATGCTGAAAATTTCAGAGTTGTGCGGCTTTACTAAAACTCTCGTGTCTTGATGTAGGAACGACGAAATCACAAGCCGTTTGATTATTTCGAATCTAGACATAAAGGTCTTCAACATATCCGAAATTCAAAATTTAATACCTTCAAAATCTTTCTAGATGATTTTTTTTTGAAGTTAACTTTAAATTCTGTCATACAGTTGATATTCTTAAGGCGAAAGAGGATAGATACACATCCCCGCCGTAACAAAGGCAATCTAAAGGTATTCTTTAAGGCGAAAAGAGGATGGATACGCATCCCCGCACTAAGAAAGGTAATCTAGAGGTATTCTTTAAGGCAAAAAGAGGATGGATACGCATCCCCGCCCTAAGAAGGGTAATCTGAAGGTATTCTTTAAGGCGAAAAGAGGATGGATATGCATCCCCGCCCTAAGAAAGGTAATCTAGAGGTATTCTTTAAGGCGAAAAGAGGACGAATACTCATCCCCGCCCAAAGAAAGGTAATCTAAAGGTATTCTTTATGGCGAAAAGAGGATGGATACGCATCCCCGCCCTAAGAAAGGTAACTTTATGGTATCCTTAAGGTGAAAAGAGGATGGATACGCATCCCCACCTTAAGGAAAGGTAACTTTATGGTATTCTTAAGGTGAAAAGAGGATGGATACACATCCCCACCTTTAGAAAAGGTAACTTTATGGTATCCTTAAGGTGAAAAGAGGATGGATACGCATCCCCACCTTCAAAAAAGGTAACGTTATGGTATCCTTAATGTGAAAAGAGGATGGATACGCATCCCCACCTTCATAAAAGGTAACTTTATGGTATCCTTGAGGTGAAAAGAGGATGGATACACATCCCCACCTTAAGGAAGGTAATTTAGAGGTCAAGACTTGAAAACTTCGACTTTCAAACTTCGAATAATTTGAAGACTTCAACTTGCAGACTTAAAGAATTTGAAGACCTCAACTTGCAGACTTGAAAAATTTGAAGACATCAACTTGCAGACTTGAAGAATTTGAAGACATCAACTTGCAGACTTTGAAGAATTTGAAGACCTCAACTTGCAGACTTGAAGAATTTGAAGACTTCAACTTGCAGACTTGAAGAATTTGAAGACTTCAACTTGCAGACTTGAAGAATTTGAAGACTTCAACTTGCCGACTTGAAGAATTTGAAGACTTCAACTTGCAGACTTAAAGAATTTGAAGACTTCAGCTTGTATACTTGGAGGATTTGAAAACTTCAATTTTAAAGAAACGTCAAGCATGTTGTTAACAAAACCCATATTTTTTAAGGGTCCCCCCCCCCTCCTCATCTATTGACCAATCAATACTTCGTACAAGTCTAAAGTTTGATGAGACAAAAGATAAAACAAAATACTTATCGCTTTCATTATCATGTGACAGATCAAGTGGGAACATGTGATTTTTTTACACTCATGCAACTGAACTTAGGATATATTCTAATCGCCTACGTACCTCAGTAAAGAGGATCAAGTCACAACGTAGTTCTGGGGGATTGAATGATTTTTTTGTTTTTTTTTTGTTCTGTCGTACACAGTTTATACTCTTGCGGGCCAGGAGTGACATGCAGTTTAGGCTCGTACCTTAAGGAGCATCATCTTACTTCAAGGGTAGTACCTCTTTAGGAATTTTGCATTAATAGGACCGATCCTTACACCATCTGTATCAATAAGCTTATAAGCACCATGTGCATATGCTTCTTGTACGACATATGGTCCATCCCACTTTGAGATAAATTTGCCCCCAGACTTGTGCGAAGTAATGATGGGTCTTCTTACCGTGAGAACTTGGTCTCCAACTTGGAAGCACCTCAAGCGAACCTTCTTATTGAAGCATGAGATAGACGAGCTTGATAACATTTAAGGTTTTGCTAGGATTCTAGCCTCTTTTCGTCAAGTGCTTCTAACTCAACAAGACGCAGTCGAACATTTTCTTCTTCAGTGATCCCTTCTTGAATAACAGGTCTTAAGGAAGGTATTTGACGCTCGAGTGGTAGGATTGCTTCAACACCAAAAGCGAGTGAATATGGTGTTGCTTGAGTTGAAGTGCGGTACGTCGTCTTATATGCCCACAAAGCTTCTTCCATTCTTTCATGCCAATCCTGTTTGGACTTAGAGACAACTTTCTTCAGGACGTTGCATAGAGTCTTATTGAATGCTTCAACGAGACCATTGACGGCAACATGATACATAGAAGATTTACGCTGCTTGAAACCAAAAAGATCGCAAATTTTGTTCATTAACTTGTTATCAAATGGCTTGCCATTATTTGTTATTATGTAGTGAGGGATGCCAAAGCGATAGATAATATTCACTCGGATAAAATTTGCAACATTCTCTTTCTTCACTTCTTTAAGAGCGACAACTTCAGCCCATTTTGAGAAGTAATCTGTTGCAGCCAAGATGTACAAGTATCCACCAGAAGATTTTGGTAGTGGTCCCACAACATCCAATCCCCAAGCGTCAAATGGCCAAGATGCAATAGTTGGGTGCAATACTTCGAGCGACTGATGTATGAAATTCGCATGAAATTGACAAGCATCGCACCTCCGAGCATAATCTAAGCAATCTTTCACCATGATTG